AGCATACAGAGTTGTGGAACAGCAGGGATATCTGGGATTTGGAGTACGAGAAGGGATTTCGCGAAGCTGGGTGGGCAAGCAATTAAAGTGATGAAGGGCCTTGTACAGGGGAGAATGGAGACAGCGATCAGTCCTCGGAGTTGTTGTTGTTGTTGTTGTTGTTGTTGTTGTTGTTGTTGTTGTTGTTGTTGTTGTTGTTGTTGTTGTTGTTGTTGTTGTTGTTGTTGTTGTTGTTGTTGTTTGTTTGTTTTTATTTGACATCGCTAACGTTCTCTCGGTACTTGTCGGAACTCTTTAAAAGCATGTACCGGTACTACAGTAGTAGCTGGATCTTGCTCTTTGCACTAACTCTCCAGCTGAATCTGAAGCATGTTTTGCTGTGTATGGTTGCTTGCAGGCCGCAGGGCGAGTTCGCCGCTAACAATCTGGCAACAATCGAGGCTATCTACCACTTCTGTGTGCAGCTGCACGATATGACATCTGGGACGTAAGTTTTGCCTTTGCCACGCCATCATCATCCACCGTCCAGGGTGCGATGGATTTGCAACTAGCACCAAGAGTACCTAACTCCCCTATAGAGTGTGAAGACTACTCTATGTGCTGCACACCCATTGCAAGTATGTTTGCTCTTCATTTTACATCGACGATGGTCAGCATGCGCGCGGTCTGAATCTGCTGTAATTAAAAATGTTGGCTCCTTGTCTTCGCCGAGTGCTGCTTTTTGCTACTCTATGCTTCACTAAAACAATGTGGGCACCCGTAGCAGCGAGTACACTACACTGCCTGACATGAGTTTCCATCTTCAGCGTGCCGTATTGGATCCAGGTGGAGTTACACGCTCTTGGCCTGGGGGGTATACTCATACTGGTACAGGGCACACGATAACGGTCGGACATCGGACATTTTCCGACCATTTTCGATTCGAATCCGGCGCTTTTTTTCTTGAACGGACAATCTGTCCGATCGAAATTCACAAAATAGCGTCGCTGGGAAAGAGAACGGCTGAAGACAATGGCGCTCTGCCTGGGAAGAAGTCTCACGAAGTCGGAGCAGCAACCTGTGACAACAGGGTTTTACAGCAAGACAGGGAGCTGTCCACTTCAGTGTAGCTCCAGTTTGAGCGTAGCAAACGATTGAGTTTTGAAATGAAATTTCTTCGCTTTCTCGCTACTTGTACAATAGCTCCTTCTTCGCTTTCTCGTCACAGTGTCCGGCCATGTCCGACCGGTTCCAGAAATGGCAGGACATTGTGTCAGAGCAATTTCGAAATCTTATCGTGTCCCCTGCTGGTACCTCTCACTGTAGCAGATAGAGACATGCATGTGTTTTTTAAAGGGGGGGGGGGGGGGGTAGGTATTTGGAAGCGCCCTTGCGGTGACGTCCTGCAGATGGGTCAGTTTTACCATATTATTCTGCTACAGGTAGACTCCCTCTAATTCGAATACGGTATAATTCGAACATTCCGTGTAATTCGAACTTTTTCGTCGTACCGATCTTCTGCAAGTCACTTCAAGTCAAAATCGAATGCATAATTCGAAGTACGAAAAGTGCGCCGGTTGGATAATTCGAACCCAGTCTTCGTACAGAAGAGCTGTTTACAGTACATTGGCTATGTCCTTTGAACGCTTATTTCGAAGTGAGATTGAGTTGCTATCCTTGTAATTCGAAGTTCATTCTTTTCTCCTTCTCTAGCCAAGAGTAGCTCAAAAATCGATCGATGGTCCGCTGCAGGATCGACTATAGCGTTCAAGAAACCCACCTTCTCTCGAAATTTGATTCAAGCCCGTGCGAGGCAAATTGCAAAGGTTTGATTGAAGACGACTTCTTCCTGGTGGCTGACTCTCTTCGTGGATCTCGATGGCCTTTCTTACCGCGCCAGCTCGTGCGCGGAGATGTTGGCGCACAACAACACTATTGTCGTAAATATTGTCTATGCCTTTGCTCCACTTCCGTTCTTCAGAACGACGTGCTGCTGTCCAACGGCCTTTCATGACGCGGATTAGGCAGCGCAGTTCTTTTCCGTTGAAATTGTTTCAGGAAAGCTACAGTGACTGACAACTTCTTCACTAGAAGATAATAATGTCAAAATGATTTTGTGTCAATCCAGTGTTTTGATGATCCGTTTTACATGACCGGCACCTATGTTTCGTTGATGCAAATAAAAATGTGCAAAAAATATTCAGCATGCGATTTCAAGCATTTTGACATACATATCAGTGCATGGGGCTGCATTTGGATAATTAGAAGTTCTGGATAATTCGAAGTTAGGGCCTGGCAATTTGAGGTTCGAATTAAAGGGAGTCTACCTGTAGTTGTGTTGGACTGGGTGGAAACATGTCATGATTGTTTTGTTTTTCGTCGTGGCTTCTCCTTGGTTTTTTTGTGTTTTTTTTCACCAGAGCACACAACGGTGAGTTTGACAATCTACTCTGGCACTATGTGCATACTTACAGCCATGTTGTCTCTACGCAAGCCATTCGAAGGTTAGTTAAAGTACTGAACCTGGTAGCATTGCCAGCCCACGTACCCGTGTCAACATTCCTCTGTGTGGATGCATGCATGCATGCATACGTGACGGTGCTCAGTCGTGTGTTGTGTGTTTCCCTTGTAAGTCGTAAGCTTCACCTGACATCACTGAACCTCAGATGGCTGTGCACGAGCGTGCCTGGTCAAGTATTGGCCATGTCTGTAGCCACAGCTGTGCCCGCTGAAATCCTGCCTCGTGGCATGGCTATGTTTTTGGTACATGTATACGTCTGCACCAGGGAGTCGAATAAGCCCGGAAAAGACACACCTTGCAAAACCTCTGATGATGTGTGCGCCTCACGGTTCCTGTGGACGCTCCTGGATACTTCACACGAAGTAGATAGTGCAGGAACCTCAGAATGTGGCGACTAATTTTTGCATGTTATGCATCACGTGTATTACTAGTAGTTTTTGGAAATGCCTGGTGTGCCATAGGATAGCATCAAGAGTCTTCAGAGGTGTGTTGCCTACTAATGTGGCTTGCTGCATGCATGTCCCCAGTACATTGTAGCAGTGTCCCCCTGCAAAGTGTCTCACAGCGTGCTTCCATCTGTGCCATTGTCTTTGTTGCTCAGGGCGGCAGCAGCCAGTGCAGCTGAAGACCACCAACCTTCTACAGCAGCTCATAAAGTAGAAGAAGAAGAGTCCAGAGCTGCAGCACAGTAGTAACTGCCCGGATGGAAGCTGAAGAAACGAGTCCTACAGTAGATCCAAAGCAGGATCGTATACTGGACATTCTTCCTGCACACTCGAGTACTAGTATTTTCTTTTCAGCAAACACTGGTCAATTAGAACTTTTTTATTTTTAAAGTCTGGTTTATCATGATCTTCCAGAGACTAACATAAGAGCGTTACAGGAAATACAAAATCCATTCGTAAATTCAGTGTGGCACATGAACATGTCTTAGCCGTTCATTTCGAGAATGGCCGTTTCGAATCGTAAAAAAAAAACACCGCTCATGGCGGTGACGATAGTAAGTAGTATCTATATGGATGTTGCGGAAATCTCAGCGGTTAAAAAAACAGTGGCTTGCAGTTGCCATGCATGTAGCACAGTGGAATCCTACAATACAAGAGCAAGAGCGTTGCCAATATGCGAGGAGTCACAAGTATACTATAATTATTGTTGTTACGACTCCCTCGTGTACAGCAGGGAGCAGGGATTGGGGATGGGGCAGCAGCCTTGGAAATCAACAGCAAAATAGTGATATGATACAAGTCAAAGATGACGGAGAGCGCTATATGTACATGGCACTTGGGGCACGAGTACGAGAATATGTACACAATGATAGTACAAGGAGATAGAATAACGACCAGCAGCATGTAACAGGTTAGGAGAGCAAATCGGTAGAAGTCAGGACAGAGTGTCGAAATAGAAGGGGAAATGAAAAGGGAGGATACACCAAGCTGTGGCGCGAACTGGAATAATTATGCTGGGATTTGTCTGCACGCGGTTCATTCCCTATTCTTGCACTGGTGACGATGGCTGGGCAGAATATGCTTGCTGTTATAAGTGTTATTACTACACCAATGTCTCGACACAGTCTGTGCTAGACGTTGATGATGTAACTTCAGCGTCAGCCGCACCCTTAGCCGCTGCTGCAGCAGAATTGGCATCAAATTCGAAATGCGACCTGATGTTGGCCGTCGACTGGCGTGGTGAGGGTCCAGGAGACGGCTCCTGGACCGAGATGTGCGGCGTATCGCGAGGCGCAGCGCCTGCAAATCACAAACGCGTCAAAAACAATGCATCTCTAAATTGTATCATTCACAACAAAATGTACATACATTGCCAGGGCAATGAAGCAAGGAGTCTTAACTACAATGCACTGTTTAAATGTACATGTACTTTACTCAATAGCACACAAGGACACAACAACCCTTACTCTCTTCGTATTCTTACAAGTATCAGGTATGCTTTTGGCCAACGTCTACTTCGAAATAGTACAATGTACATGTATCATGACACAGTGGAAAAATTAGTCTAAAGAAAAGGGAAGCGATTCACTGTCTTTAGGACCAAAATGGCTGCCAAGCATTGCATCGCAATTTACATGCTGCAGCTGCATCTCAAATTCTCCATTCTCCAGTAGCATGGTGGAAACATGGTGGGAACGTACATATTGTAGGTTAGGGGACTGCCAATCCCCAGGTTGTAACGAAACCCAGTGTTTCAGACCAAGTGAAAATAGTCGAAAACTCTGAATCATCACTACCAAGAGTACACAGCCCCCAAGAGTGTGCAACTCGTGCATGCAGCGCTGTCCCGGCATGACCTCAAGTTGACACCATTGCTATGATGCAATGCTACTCGCCAGAGTGATTTACAACGTTTGCACGGGGTGCCAGCACATCACACGTGTGTCCTCGCACTACATGTACATAGTTAGTACTTAATAGTAGTTCGTACAGGATCAGATGAGGGATTTGTCCACCACTGGTCCAGGATAAGTCTGACAATAGAGAGGTTTCGCTTCGCGTTGTTCTGCACTACACCGTGAAATTTCACGTCGGTGTGGCAAATCTTGGCGTCGAAACTCCCGTTCATGACGTGAGCTGAGGTCAACTCACGTTCGACGTGAACGCGAGTTTCACGGTGTGGTGCAGAACAACGTGAAGCGAAACCTCTCTATTACGTGTTCACCGCGCATTGCATAAAAAACGACGTCAACTTGCAATTCTGCCGGGACAGTACTGAGAGTGGAGTTGCACACTCTGGGGGTTGGGGGTTACGTACTCTTGCCACTGCTACTACTAACTTTACTACTGTCATAATGTATGTAGAATGTAGAACAGATGTAACGCACCATCAACAGTCGTTCTGTTCAGGATTGAGTGCTGCAGGATCTTGGGCAGCGTGCTGAACGTCTGTGCCGACAAGCCATAGAAACCATCCTCGGGAGTGCCGCATGGACCATTCAACGCATGAAGCAGCGCTCGAGTCATCTACAAACAACGCAGGAAAGACAAAGCTGACACACTTCCTGGTACAAAACACACCTTTCTCTCTCTCTCTCTCTCTCTCTCTCTCTCTCTCTCTCTCTCTCTCTCTCTCTCACAGACACACAGACACACAGACACACACACACAGACACGCATACGTGCAGTTGGGTGGCAACAGATTTGTCACAGACCAGCAGTTGTTCTACGGCACAGAGACAAACCCGCACAAGACAGTTAACCCTTCTGCAACTGGTGCACAATCCAGAGAAATTTGCTAAGGACATTTTGCCCGGGTGACAAGATGACGTGGGTAAAAATATAAGGCTAAAATAAAACTGATGAGAGGCTGGAGCCTGTTCAGAAAGGGCGAACGCATGTGACAAGTCCATACTTACCATCAACACTTGAGGAATAAGGCTTTCTGTTGCTCTCCAGTTCAGAGCATGAAGGGCCTGCATTCCACAATGTTCCTGACCATTGAACCTGAAGAAGCAAAGAGCGCCGAAAGCAGAGAACATGACACAGGAGGATCAGAGAGTGCATCACCGAGACCATTTCACAAAAAAAGTTGAAAACAGCATCTAAGCTGGCATGATATTTCGCCAAGCAGTTCTTGAGTCATGCTAGCAGCAGCAGCAGGATTAGCGCCTTACATGCAGCTGTGAACACCGGTTGCCAGCTCTTGGTAGACTTCTGGTGCTAAACAGTGCCGTGCACGGCCCGCCAGTTTGCTCAACGCCTTTTCATCCAGCATGAACTTTTTATTGCTGTCATCGCGGCCGGCTTGCCTCAGGCCAATCAAGACGTCCTGCTGAAAATTTAAACAAAACAAAAGACCACAAGAAGAGAGTTGTATGGTACATGCAGCACACTGCCACGGCACACTCACCAGCACAACACGATCACAGACAGGGCAGAAACCAAGAGTACACGTAACAGCAACGTTATGTTTGTTTCAGAGAAACTGTGAACGGCTGTAGTAGCAGAAGATCAGGGAGTCGTGCCATCTACAGAGGATGACGAGGCTGGCCTCTATGGGTGAATGGAATGTGAAACGATTTGGGTTGCGCTCCCAGGCTGCTCGTTCCAGTCGCCCTTGGGGCAAGGCCAACTCATGCACATCGGCATAACATGATATCGATGGTCTAGGCTGCGTGCAGGGTCAGCAGTCCAGGACGTGATCACAAGTTACATAGAGCATGGATCAGGTATTCAGAAGGGAAAACAAAATGCACAACGTTTTGGGTAGTATGCGTCGGCAAGAGTACATGAAAACCAGAGTGTGCAGCGTGGGGCCTTTTCTGCCATGGGTGTCTGTCACGGCGGAATTCCGTGATTACATCATATTTGGCGCAGATTTGGGGCGGGATATGGCGTAGTGCGTACAACTGAGCTGCAGTTGTGCAGAAAGAGACCTGCTTGAATCCTGCTTGTGCGCACTACATCACTAAAATGATGTAATCACGGAATTGCGCCGTGACAGCAACCCATCCGAGCTGCACACTCTGGTTTTCATGTACTCTCGGCGTCGGATAAATCGGATGATTCGGCAGCACTGCATAGGCTAAAGAAGTAAGAGCAACTTACCACTGATATGCTGGGTTGTAACCTATCTGCACTCGGGAGGGACTCCGTCTTCGTACAATTCTCCACTTTGGGAGAAATGATAGCGCCTGGTGACATAACACCATGTACACTACTCTTCTTCAGGTCAAAGCCAGATACACATACTCTGTAAGCCACAGTAGTACACAGATACCCACATGCAAGCATACCAACACACACACACGCACGCACGCACATACACACCACAGCACAATGTCTAATATATACATGGGCCCAGGACAAACCTGTCCATCAAAACCAAACGGTGTGTACCATTTTGGTGGTCAGTTATTGTAAAGACAAATCTGATTGCACTTCAAACACAGCAGAGTGACACACTCAGACACACAAAGACGCACATACAGTTTAAATCACGCACCTACGACAAATGGTAAATTTTGCTATCCAGACGGAATGGACTTCAGT